TCCCGTGTCCTGGGGCTGTGACCTTGGTGCTGGGGGCCCGCTGCGGCCGGCCTTCCTCCAGGCCCGGGCGCTGCTCCAGGGAGGAGAGGAGCTGCTGGATCCGTGGGTCCCGAGGCATCCGGGGAGCAGATGCTTCCACAGCACCTTGTTCGTCCTCTCTACCTTCCTCCCCAGGCGTCACTCGGTGTGTCTCTCACTGGCATCGGCTGTGGACTTGTCTGCTGAGCGGCCACAGTGAACAAAACAACGAGAATAAATCGAGTGCCAGAGAAAATGATGCGCTCAAGAGATGCGGTAGCCCTAACCAGTTTGGCTCAGTGGATAGAGCGTCGGCCTGCGGACTGAAAGGTCCCAGGTTCGATTCCGGTCACGGGCATGTACCTGGGTTTCGGGCACATCCACAGTGGGGGGCGTGCAGGAGGCAGCTGATCGATGTTTCTCTCTCATCGATGTTTCTAACTCTCTATCCCTCTCCCTTCCTCTCTGTAAAAAATCAATAAAATATTAAAAAAAAGAGAGAGACGCGGTAAAGAGATGCATGAGGCTGCTGCCAGCTTAGCCTGGCATATTGTTTACAGCAAACCTTTTCTTTTATAAGTAGGAAGAGTATACTCCCCCAGAACAAGTATAAATAGTAAACACATGAACAGGAACAGTGATGTTACTGTCAGAGACCATGTCCTGTGCACACTTGCACGTGCTGCGCTTGTTCTATGACTGGTGGTCGCCGGCTTGTCAGCAGCCTCGCCACGAGCCCGTGAGGGATGCCTGCCTACGAGTTCCAGCCAGGAGGCGCTGGGCGAGAGGGATTCGAGGCTCCAGTCAGGCCTATGGCCCTGTTCCGCGTGTGGTCTGATGTGCAGCGAACGCCGTGCGGCACATGGACTGTTGGGCAGGGCTTCCTGGAGGAGGTGGCACTGTGTCCGGGGCCTGAGCGGGAGTAGGAGGCGCTGGGGAGCAGGAAGGAGTGCTCCAGGCAAGGGAGCAGCAGGGCCCAGGCGGGAGGCATGGCCATGAGCCTGTCCTCACCAGAGCCTGTCCTCACCGGCGTGTGGTGGGGGAGCTGGGGACAGGCAGTGGGGTCCTGCGGGCGGGTCACCAGGAGAGGCGGTGCCTGTGGTGTCGGCCGATGGGCTTCGCTCACCCCAGGCCGCAAGCACTGACTGATGGGCTGCCGGCTTCTCCCGACCCGAGCCCAGCCCAGGGGAGGCCTTGCCGGCTCCCCCAGCTCCAGGCGGAGTCCAGGCACAGCTGGAAGGGCGTGGGGCGGAGACCTGAGGAAGCTCCAAGGGGGCCTGGGCTCAAGGGCGGGCCTGGGGCCTCGGGGGCAGGGCGTGGGGGTCGTGGATAAAAGAGAACATCAGGAGTCACAGGAAGTGGCCCAGCCGCAGCCAGAGACAAGCACCCTGGCCTCACAGCTCCTGGGCGTCCGAGGCCCTGGGACAGCACTGAGCTCGCCTCACGTGGAGGGAGCCGTGGGCCTCGTGGGCCTGAGGTGAGGGCAGCTGGGCCCCTTGTCTGTCGGACCTGCCTCAGTCTGTCCGGGCTGCTGTGACGGAGTCCGCAGCCTGGGCTGCTTAGACCCAAGCACTCATTTCTTAGTCTGCAACCTGCAGACAGGTGTCTGCCCCTGCCCCCTGGGGCCTCTGCCCCCTGGCATCTCTGTCAGTCACCTTCACGTGGACATCGCATCTTGTCACATTCACCCAGCGCTGCCTGTCACCTTTCCCAGCTGTGTCTCAGGGCGCAGGACACGCATGGAGAACACCCCCAGCTTCTGCCCGCATACCTTCACCCAGGAACCAGGACCTTGCCCGGCCATGTGGGAGGAGCTGCAGATGGACAGGCCGTGCCAGGCTGAGTGCAGGGGTCTGCTGGCCTGAGGATCTGCCCAGCCCCCGCCGAGCTCACCCTGGAAGTGGCACAGGCACTAGTCCCGTCTGGCCTCAGGGCCTCGGGGCGATGGGCGATGGCTGACATGGGGCTGGAGCGCCACACATTCTCCCACTGGGGAGGGGGCGGCAGGCTCTCCACAGCCTTCACCCCCGACCCTGAGCCAGGCCCCGAGGTGTCCCCTCGCTCACCTGTCCACTGGGGCAATAACTGCTCTTGCTGCCCCAGAAACCTGCCTGAGCCACGTGCCCAGCAAGGCGGTCAGCGGGTGGGGCGACGCGCAGGGACAGCTTTGCTGGGCAGTGCTACCCAGTGTGCCCGAGGAGCAGCGCCCAGCTAGGTGCCCACGCGCAGATGCCCCAGCCTGCAGCCCCGAGTGGTGGAGCGAGTGGCCAGCCACCGTCCTGGCTGCCTGGCACGGGGAGGGCTCCTGCACCCACTTCCCCAAGGGCGGACCCCGTGTCCTGGAGCTGGTTCCTCTGTGCCTCGTGCCTCCGGAAACCTCCGTGGAAAACACAAACTCATGATTCCTGGGTTGACAAATATGCTTCTGTTGCCCCAAAGGGGCGGGGGGAGGCTGGCAGAGGGAGACAGTCACAAGAGGACCCACCGGGCCAGGCCGAGCCCACAGCCTGCTCTCCATGCGTGTGCACGTGGACAGAAGAGCTGTGCGTGCATGTGTTTGCGTGCATGCATGACTGCCTGTGCCGTGCCCGTGTGGGGAGGGCGGTGGAGCCCACTCTCGGCTTCTGCGTGGTCCTGGGCTCCAAGCCTCGGATCCCCCACCTGTCAGAGGGTGGCGACAAGCCCAACAAGGGGAGGGTGGCACCCGTCAGGCCCGTGGGGAGTCGGCGTGTCCGCAGCAGAGCCGTAGCAGTGAGTCCCGGGAGCAGTGCCGGGCCCCACACGTGATGCTCACCCTCATGCATGAGCTACTCCCACAGCGTGAGCCAGAGGAGATGGGGGTGGGGGCAGCACCTGGGCAGGGGCCATGCACTGAGGAGGGGGTGCCCACACCCTGGGCAGGGGCCATGCACTGAGGAGGGGGTGCAGACACCCTGGGCAGGGGCCATGCACTGAGGAGGAAGAGGAACAGCAGTGCCAAACCCCAGCAGCTGATTGAGGGCTTAAGGAGCCAGAGCTCAGGACTTGGGAAAGCACAATGATGTTTTTCATCTCTAAAACTTCTAGAATGTTCCTTGGGCTGTTTTCAGTTTGGATTCCCTTTTTCCTGGGATCCTGGACAAGACTTGGTGTTTGCTTCCAGGCTCTGCACCACTGCTACCTGCCATCCCCTCCCAGGTGGGTGGGGGTGAAGGGCGCCGTCCCACGGGTGCCTGTGGGGCCAGCAGGCCCCGGAAGCGGGTCTCCTGGGGACCGGCCACGGGGGAGGAAATGTGGCTCAGCCTGCACGCCCCGGGCAGGGTCCTCTTTCTCGGCTGACCAGCCTCCACCTTGGCCTCACCCTCACCGGGGGCTCAGGCAGGCAGGGCCCACAGCCCAGGCTTGGTGCAGAGGCGGGTGGTGAGTGCTACCCCACAGCCTCCCCATGGGCCTGGGGCGGGCGGAGCGGAGGTGAGAGGCGGTGGGTGTGGGAGGTGGGAGCTCAGGACAGCAGTGGAAGGAGGCCGTGGAGGGTGGGGGACATGGCAGGGCAGTGGGGGGGATGTCTGGGTCGGGCAGAGCAGGGGGCCTATGGTGGGGAGTGCGGCCTGAGCCTCAGGGGCAGCCTCTGCCTGAGGTGTGCACTCCGGAGTCTCAGGTCAGGATCACCCAAAACCACTCCTGAGAAGGCGGGAGACTCCCGTTTAATTCACTGAGCAGCTTGGCAAGATGAGGACGTGCCTTCAGGATCCAAGCCTTTAGGCAAGAGGAGGCCCCGGCCGGGGAGGCGGGCTCTTTGGTGCGCAGTGGGCGGAGGGGGGCTGGAGGGGAGCTGGTCGTCAGAGGCCCCCCAGCTCGGCCGCCAGGAAGGACAGCAGGAAGCGGACCCCAGGACCTCGGCAATCTCAACATGGAAAGAAAGGAACGGTGGGGCTGTGCCCGGCCTGGGGGCCTCAGCCCTGGGCCTCTGGCCACCCGTCAGGGCCATGACACTGGAGGGGACCCCAGGCCCCACGCAGGCAGCGCTTTCTAACCCCTGAGCCCTGTTTCATGCACCCCTCCTCCCAAAGGGGCCTCGTTCTCTGACCCCTGGAGGGGTCACTGAGGGCCAAGTGCAGGAACTGGGGCCACCACCACTGGGCCCCGCACCCTCTCCCCTCAGCCGGCCACTGCCCCACTGCGGTGGGAACACAGAGGCATGGAGAGCCGGGCGGGCACTGTGCCCGGGGGCGGGAGGGGAAGCCTCTGTCCTGGCTCGGAGCCAGGCCCGGCTGAGCGGCACCCACCTGGAGGGCAGCAGTAGACGAGGAGGGCCAGCCCCGCGGCTAGGCCGAGGCAGGCCAGAAAGGCCATGGGTCCTGGGGGAGAAGCATGGGTGAGCGGCTCTCGTACCTCTGAGGGCGGGTGCAGTCCTCGGGCCACAAGGGACAGGCTAGGACCCACGTGGGGTCAGCTGGGTGGGGCACCCCCAGGGAGCACCCTGGGGGATCTGTCCACGGGGAGCAATCTCAACATGGCCAGAGCCCACCGTGGAGGGGCGCCCGGGGTGGAGGGGACGCCGGGGTGGAGGGGAGCCCGGGGTGGGGGCGGCGGTTACCCCTGTCGCTGAGCGTGTGGCTGGCGGTACCCAAGTCCAGGTCTGCGCACTCCAGGTCGGAGTTCTCTGGAAACAGAAGCAGAGGCGCAGTTGGTGGGGGCCAGAGAGGAAAGTGGTCGCCGGCCTCAGGAAGCCAAGGGGGCTGCCGAGGTCCCTTGCCTCCGGGGCCCCCAGCCCCTGGCGGAGCGGGACCAGGCTGTGCTGCCACTGAGCCTCCGGCCCGCGTGGTGGAGCTGGTGCCGGGGAAGGGACCCTGCATAGTGGGGGTCTCCTTTTGTCCACTTCCTGGGACCCTGGGAGTCATGAGGGGGGGCACTGCTCCCTCGTGACCATGAGGCACCACGTCAGCAGGTGCTCTCTCCCCGGCCTCCCCAAGTGGCCACCCGCCACACACCCTTGAGGGCACCCGTGAGCCGGGCCGCACAGGTCCGGAGGGCGCCACGGCTGGTGTGACAGCACCGTCGGTGCCGGAGCCCAGAGCCAGTCCTGCCGCCCGTTGTGGGGCAGACGCCAGCCTGGCGTCATGGCTGATGGCCTGAGTGAGCCACCCCATCCCTGGGGGCCTCTGACTTCTAAGAGTCGGGGAGAGTAGCCCCTCCTCCTGGGCCTGGTGCAGACGCCTCAGGACTGGGCTGCCGTCGGTCCTGCGCTTCCCTGTCCTGGGCCCGGCAGATCAAAGGGACACAGCTCAGCACCCACCACGGGCCGGTTCACTCAGGCTGGCCCAACCGGGGCGGTGTGGTCAGCAAGGGGAGGGTCCCACAATGCACTGGGTTACAGGGGGAAGAGGCAGATGCTACCTTTTGTATAAAAAACTGGCACAGAAGAAAGAGACAGAGACAGGAAGACAGAGATATCTGTGTGGCCAGAACCCTCCCTCTGCTCGGGGACCACAGAGAGGAGATGGGGTGGCGGGCGGACGCTGGCCGAGCAGGTGGACGCTGAGGCCTGGCGCCGGCCGTGCACTTACGCCCGGAGTGCCTGCTGGGCAGGCGGCTGTGCAGGGGCTGGGCGTGGATGTAGAGGGCACGGTAGAACTCCTGGCAGTCCCGCTCGCCGCTCCGCTGCAGGTGGCCCAGCAGGTCACAGAGCCGGACGCGCAGGGATGCCCTGGGGTTCCGGAACTGGGGCATGAGGCACACAAAGGACAGTCAGGCCCTGAGGGGCCAGGCCCGCCCCTCCCCCCACTGCTCCAGCGCTCTCGTGGGAGGTGCCTCCCACCAGGGGCTCCCAACACCCCCGCAGGGAGTGACTGAAGCACGGCCTCGCGGTGCCAAGACGGCGCTGGGTCACAGCACGGCTAGTCCTCGCACTCCCGTGACGTGGAAACCAGTCACCAGGAAGGCGGCAGGGACGCTATCCGTGTGGGAACAGCGGCCTGTTTGTGGAAAGGGAGTGCTGAGCCCCCTGCAGGGCTGGTGAGGGCATCGCTGAGGGGATAGCATGATCACTTCTAGTGGTTTATCGTCCAGCAGCAGTCGGCAGAGCCAAATAACAGTACGACTGACATTTCTTCTGAAAGTCAAATTTTTTAAACTTAAACTATATAGGTAGGTACATTGTTATTAACTTAATTAGGGTGCTCCTAAGGCTTAGGGAGAGCCACACTCAAGGGGCCAAAGAGCCGCATGTGGCTCTCGAGCCACAGTTTGCCGACCACGGGTCTACGGGAATGTGATGCAAGTATTTAAAAGGGGTAAGGAGGAAAGAATTGGCGCCTTTGATGTGTCTGATGGAGAAATGTGTAGTTCTAAAGGTCAGTGGACATGGCACGTGGCACTGACCTCCAGGATCTGGCGGCCGTAGCTTAGTGCTGCCACCTAGTGGCAAAATACCATTCCACATGGACACGATGGGGAGGTACGTGCAGGCCTGAGTGTCCTTTTCCCTGTACAAACATGGGAAACTGTTCAAATGGTTTTTACAATGAATGTGTGTTAGACTTTTAATTTCAACAGTGCAATACAAATTGGGCTCCTCCTTTTTCACTTCCTGTGCTACGTCCGTGACTTGAGAAAGCAGCCCGTAGCAGCCCCTGAGCTTCCGATCGCCAGGGCCCACCCCTCCCTGTGCCAAGGCAGGGAGCGGCAGGCTCTGTACCCCAAAGCCCTGGCTGATCCCTGGCACCCACCTCAGCCCCATGGGGGAGCCAGAGAAGCAGGGATAGCAGGCAAGGTCACCCACTCTTACCCAGTGTCCACAAACAGCTGAGCCAGATGACAGCTAAAATATGTGCCCATTATGACCTTTTGGAAGAGCCCTGTGATGCCAGGGTGGGGCCTAGCCAGCACCCCTGCTCCCCACTCCCCGCTCCCAGGTATGTCACGTTGTGGCGTGTTGTCACATGTCTCCTGTGATACTTCCAGCCCCGGGTCCAAGGTCACCCCAAAGAGACAGGTCTTCACTTTCGAGCTCTCCTCCCCCCCCCCTCCCGGCCAGCCCCTCCTTTTCCGC